CACCCTTGAAGGTTCAGCACGGGGCCTATAATTCCAACTAACCAGCTGGCCCTGTGTTCCTCCAAGCGACATATCAAACGACGAAGACTAGCCGCGAAGGAGACCTTGTCATCCTGGATCCATGTAGTCATCGTGTACGGAACGCAACCTGCCGCGGTCCCTTCCATCCCTGCTTCTATACTCGCAGGCGCGTTCGCTCATGTGACTCGCCTACAGGTTCACCGTCGTCGTTTCACTTACGGCGCGACCATAATTCGCAAATTTCTGCCTCGGGTCACGTAGCGACTCGTTACCACCTGACGGTGGTACATAGCCTATGAGGTAGCCTGTGATGACACCAAGCTTGAGGGATATGGCTTGGTGAACGAGGGGTCATCAGGATCCTTGACTACACGGGTCTTTCGTCGCTTGAAATACACTTATCCCTTAGGACGACGAAAGCTTCGCTCCACCTCCACTAGGAAAGCATGGGATTGAAAACAAGCCCCCTTGTTCAACACGGACCCCGGAGTACATCCGTGTGTTGGGCAAGATACATTCGTAAAGCTAGCTGCACGGCGCATTCCCACTGTGTACATGCTCCTCCCATGCCTCGAATGACGAGACACATTTCATTAAGATCCCGCGACGCACCTGGTGGCATGAGCTTCATCTTGTCCTCAGCAATCAGACCTTACGTCTCGCCGAGATCTCGCGCATGGTGAGCTGCGCGAGGAGTGATGGTCATATTATGGACCTCCTAACACCTTCCTTGGCCTTCTCGAATGCTGGGCTGGGCCAACATAACAAGTGGGCAAGAATGATCATAAAGACGGGTCTAAAACAAACATGCGGGAATTGGGGGGGCTCGTGGACATTTCCCGCCAGGTCGGCTTGCAACGTTGTCAGTTCACCGAGCAAATGCTGACGCTTATAAGGATCGTGTTCGGTGCGCAAAATTTCTTGCCAGAGTAGACGCTCGTTAGCTTTGACATTGGAAATAATATGACCCTTCGAAGCCGACCACTCAGATGACCCTTTCCTTGAGACGCCTTTTCAACGTTTTCATTCAAGTTGGACTTGAACAATTCTAGAGTGTGATAAGCGTCTTTACGAATATGCACGGAGGTTACAAGGATAGGAGACACATCACCACTATGATGCAAGATTGCCGCCCTGCCGAAATCCGCGGACATTTGACCAACATGTCCGATTCGGGGGAAATGCTCCAACCGACAGCGTTCTCTCGGCCTGCAGGATTGGGTCGTTGGCTTCGCTATTCGCTGCTCGAATCGATCACCAGTCTCTGATCACTCGAGGGTGGGCCTGGCCATGACGCAAATCAAACCACCCGTCTGTTGCATCACCACGAGTCCGTGACGGGAGCTCGAGCAAACGACGTGTCGCATGTCAGATCCTTCGGTGATTACTAAACATTATTGTTAGATTCTGGGTCTTTGACCATTTGTATTTCAGTATGGACACGTACTACTCGGTCCTTGGCTCAGAAGACTAAACCAGTTCAATGTGACATGCGATTGGTATAGCGCTCGTCTCTAGACATGTCTTTGATATTTTCCCCCTGGACTTTTGAGTTGCTTCTTGCGGTTCTCCACCAGCCACAAACCCAGATGAGTTGAGGTCTGCGTGTCTTTTTATTCAGACCTGACCTCAATGCATCTTTGCATGTGTCACTTTTGCATGATCGCCGCCTGCCACAATACTGCCATCCGGGAGGACGACCTCGGTGAATCTAACTTGTGCCAAGACCATGGGATATATAATGTCGCAAGTCAAACATGTGGCCATGAGAAACACAGCCACGGGGTTGATGAAGAAGCCATGAGCTTCTGGCCAGAAGCACCAAAGTAGTGCCGATGGTCCTATCCAACCCAATAACGTGCCCAGCGACCTGGTAAACCTGTGATGTGTCGTCAGCCTTATGGGCTTTAAAGCAAGATATTGAACGTTCATGAGCATATTAGAGCCCACCAAGCTGGGCCGAGACGATACGACCACGCGCACAATGACTGCCATGCTCTACTAAGCCACTCAGTGAGTCTTGGCCGCTAAATACTCCCGTGCAGGAGTCCAAACAAGGCATCCGCAGGTTTATCAAGTGCAGGTTGAGATGACCATCTCCTCGGCGTATATCTGAATTGCTGGGCAGCGGGACCGGTCCAATCTACCAGGATGTCCGATCATCGCCCATGATATGAACAGCAAGGGTGGGTCACCCAACAGACACACCACCTACCTCGCGCGAGTAAAACATCGTTGTCGATAGCGAGAATGGAAGGTGGCACTAGGGACAGAGGAAGTCGAAACTCACCAGATTGCATAGCTAGTGCCTCCGGAGTGGCCCCTCTCGAAAAGCATGGCGAGACATCCTGCGCTCACTGACAGCTGCGCGATGCCAGCTGTCCAGAACGCCAGCTCGGTGCAGTCGTAGCCCTCGGCGCCGCGCCACCATTTGCCAGCCTTATCACCGGAGCCGCGACCGGGAGCGGCAAAGAACCAATACGCGAACGCGGCGTTTCCGGCGCAGCCGACAGCGACCATGGAAGCGAGAATAGGCACAATATTGCGGGCGACGAGCGGGGCATGAGAGAACTCTCGAGGCGCTGCGCGAATTGTCGCCTGTAGGACGGGTATGTCAAGGAGGAGCCAGGCGAGGAAGCCGATGCGCTCAAGAGGTTGCTCGGCGATGCCAATGGCAAAGATTATCTCCCAGGAAATGTTGAGAGCCAAGGCTAGTAGAGGCATGCCATAAGAGTGCGTCCGCCGGCTCCGGATGGCGAGCAGTACGTATGTTGCATCCCAACAGAGAGCGCCAGCAGCGAGGAGTGCGAAAGATGCCGGCACAACCCACGAGGGGACATGTGGAGGAGAGAGGTCAACTAGACCCATGATTCTTGGGTTAAAACAAATTAGAGTGAAGAAAAGAAGTCAAGCGAGGTTTTTGGGGGCGATTTCGCCCCTTTTTGTTGCTGTTCGTGCTCACGTTACATTTCCTTGGCGTCAGCTTTATCCTTGTCAGTGAGACCATGAAGGCTGGACAAATATCAACCGAGGCAACGTAGCCAAAGGAAATCGCGCCAATTTTGGCGAATAATTCAATGAACCCTTGTTGGTCAAAACTCTAGACACTTGCAGGACCAGTTACAGCCAATGGCACGCGTCAAAGTTCTGGGCTGCTTCCTGACTACAAGATGTAAACGCTTTTGAGAACTCTAACTCTGATAGCCTCCCCACCTCAGAACCTGTTCAAATTGCGAGATGGAGTGATCGTGGTAGTCCTAACACTGCTTAAAATAGCTTTGTTGTATATGAGTAGGTTAAAGAAGGAAAGAGGAGGAATCGTCAGTACATCAAGAATGGCAACTCTACTTGCTGCAACGAAGCCAGAGGTGACAGAACTAGGCGCAGGGATCACCCGAGGCACAGATGCCATTTAACTCATATCATATTTGTGCACCAGAGGATACAGTAAGAGTGCCTGTTAGAAAGATGAAGTAGATGCATGTCGGGAGGGGGGGCTGGGCACGCTCTGCTTCAAAACGGTCGTCTGTGTATATCGCTCAGTGATATCATAGGTCGTGACTGCCTCAAAAACTGATTTCCTTAAGTCACCTAAACAGTTCTTCATTGCGAAAGAATTGCGATAAAGAACCGAGCGTATTGGAAGCTCATGCTGCGCAAGAAGTGTTTATTTCGAACAGACCGCTGCAAGAGTCTCACGCTGCCACACATGTGGTCATGCTGCAATCAGGGTCGCATGATGAACCCCTCCCTGGAACGGACTTTCAGAGGTAACTGTTGGCAGCTAATCTGATCTCCATCGATTAGCAACAGAACCTTTTCTTGCACTGCCAAAAAACAAATGCCACACCCAAGTCTTGCTGATTGTGTTAGTGTTAGTGCTTAGCTGGCAAGCTTCCTTTGACTCCTTGATGGTTCGGTTGTAATTGCACCCCTTGATACATGAGAAATGGGAAAGCTGTAGTCTTCAAGTCCAATGTACCATTAATGTTTGGAAACCGATGTGGTTGATATCAGTGCTGATTTAGAGCAGAGTGAAGAGGACTTCAACGCGCGGTCCTCAGCAATATAATGTAGGTATGGGATCGGAAGGCCTTCCGAACTCCTTAAATAAACGTTCTCGTAGCCCTTAGCCCCTGGCTAGCCCCCTGTGCCGTGGCTCCATATTTGATCATTGTCGAACAGAGAGATAAGACATAGGGTTTAGAGTAAGCTTGGGGTTATCATACTCTTGAAGCAAGGGGCGGCATCAGGAATACCTTAAGTGAATGAAGTTGACTTGTTCTGTCCTTTCGAGGATCATGACACAAAGCGAAGCTTTGTTTGCCAATCCTCTGTATCAAACAGGAGCAACTCTGTAAATATACAGCAGGTCCAATTCTCGAAGCTCACAGCCGACCCTCTTTCAAAGAAAATTTGGGCTAGACAGAATCTTCTGCAAATCACTTTGCGCACAAAGGATAGAGTTTCCGAGCTGAGAGCTGAAGCGTCGAATGATGGATGACGGCGACCCAAGGCTTCTGGCGGCAGCAGCAAAGAGGTTATTGGCCTTCACATCCCCTACCATGCGAACTTCTCTTTTCAAGCTTCCAAGACAATGGAGTATGATCTTGGGTCCAGAATACTAACTGCCGCGCGCTTCTAACATGCGCAACCTGTGGTCCTATGGCTGGAGTTGATCAAATGGTGTCTTTCACTGACTCTTGGCCTGTTAACCCCAATGTGTGATTACATAAGCCTCTCTCGATGGTACACATGGTACACAGTTGGTGGGTGGTTGACCCGAGGTGGGCAATTACCTCACAGGTGCCCCGCCATATCCAACACTGCTGCCTCGTGACCCCAAAGCCCAAGCTGCACCTCCTTGCGCATACCCTTTATCCTTGAACAGCTTTCGCGCGCTGGAGCTCGATTGATTATCACCGAAATCCCACGAGCACTCCATTTTCGAGCTTGTCTCCTCCGCCGCCGCTGCCGCGATGAACCGCCTCTTCGGCGGCGCCCCGAAGGGCCCCAAGCCCACACTCAACAGCGCGATCGCCAACCTCGACGAACGCGTCGCCTCCCTTGACGTCAAGCTGGCCTCGGTCAACGCCGAGCTGCAAACCTACCAGAACAAGCTCAGCAAGATGCGCGACGGCCCAGGCAAGGCGGCCATCAAGTCCAAGGCACTCAAGGTCCTCCAGCGGCGCAAGATGATCGAGTCGCAGCGCGACCAGCTGCAGAGCCAGAGCTGGAACATGGAGCAGGCGCAGAGCATGCAGGACAACCTCAAGAACACAATGGCCACCGTTGATGCCATGAAGACGACAAACAAGGAGCTGAAGAAGCAGTACGGCAAGGTCGACATTGACCAGATTGAGAGGCTGCAGGACGAGATGGCCGACCTCATGGACGTGGGCAACGATATCCAGGAGAGTCTGGCGAGAAGCTACGACGTGCCCGAGGACGTCGACGAGGCCGAGCTGGATGCTGAGCTTGAGGCTTTGGGGCTCGAGGCCGAGCTGGAGCCGGAGCTCGGCGCTGGCGCCGTGCCGAGTTTCATGCAGGAGGAGTTGCCGGACTTTGTGGACGAGGAGCCCGCGGCAAAGGAGGCGAACAAGGTCAAGGAGGCGGCAGCTTGAATACCGCGGCGGCGTGGCGACTTGACGAATCATGGAGTTAGGCGTGTGACCTTTGGGATATGGGACATCTCTACGATACGTGGCATCTCAGGGTCCAAGAGACCTCTGTGGCTTCCCCCGTGTCTTCGTTTCTTTGTCGGTAATAAAACACATCTATGCATGCATTCACTCGACCCGCCCTCACTCTTGATAGCTCACGATTGCTGGTCCTTTCCTTGTAAAAATTCTTGTTCTATTACATCCGACATGGCTCTCACTTGGCCACACTTAATGAACGCTCGCCACCTCATTCAATCGTCCCGAACATGCGTGATACTTCCTCCAGCTCTGCGTCCCCATTGCAGAAGTCCCATCCAACAATCACACTCGTCTGACTGCAGCAGATGATGCGACGGGCGTCAAACTGCAGCTTGAACACCCGCGCCGGGCTGCCTTCTGTCGCATGAATGTGGGGGTGGTGCGGGGCCTGGGGGTCTGCCGCCTGCTGCGGGTTGTTTGCCGGCGGGACGGTCAGTTGCGGAAGTACTGGCTGTGTCTGCGGTTGCGTTGGTTGTTCCTGGGCAGCCTGTGCATGAGTATGCGCCTGCGGAACTGGAGTGGAGTGATGCTGAACGGGAGCTGAAGGTGGGCCGGGATGTTGCTGGTGAGCTTGAGGCGGTGCTCCATGTCCCTGAATGTGAAGGTGACCCTGTACTTGCTGCGGTGGGGGTGGGTAGCTAAGTTGTGAAGAGGAGGCTCGCCCAGCATTCTGCGCCGTGGCCATCGCGCCCTGAGGTGGTTCCGAGTGCCTCTCCAGGTGTCGCGCAGGGTCAAAGGGACGACTGCTGCTACGGCTTGGCGCTGCGGCTGAAGTACTCGCAGTCGATGAGCCAGCTACTGCCTGGACCGATGTCGACGAAGATGTGCCTGCAAGAGAAGCAAGTGGGGGCAAAGTGGGCGTCATCAGTTGGCCATTCATGTTCTGAACGGAAGCTAAGCGTGTGCGCGCCTGGGCCTCCTGCGTCTGATGTAGAGCCTGTGCAACGACTTGTCGCATGTTTGTTCGAGTGACTGGTGACGGCTCCCGTGTGATAGCAGCTTGTATGTGCGTGTGGTATACCAGCATGGTAGGGTAATTTGCCAGGGCTTGATGCAGCGCCTGAGCCCCTTGCGGCACGACCATGTCGATCATGGCCATATAAGATGACGCGGATTCGGGTGTGATTGTTGCGATAATCGGAGTCTCGACCGTTGTCCTTGAGGGCGTATTCTGACTCTGCGCCGTGCCGGCCTGAGGCGGAGCAGCAGACCCTGGAGTGGAGGCCCTCGGTGGAAAGGGCTGGTGCGAACTGAAGTTGGCAAGTATCGGTGCTGGTGGGTGCGCTGGTGGGGGCGCTGCCGCCGGTACGGGCACTGTAGAGGCCGGCGCTGGCACGGGGATAGAGCCGGAGGCTGCCGCCCAGCTTTGTGCAGCTTCAGCGGCCTCTTCTTGACGCAGACGATGAAGCACCACCCATTCCCCTTCTTTCAGACGCCGCCAGATGATGATCTTCTGGTCGTATGAGCCCGAAACGATACGAGCGTATTTGCCGCCGCCGCCGCCGGGGGGCAAGGTGGCTCCGTATGCTGTGATGTCTTCGGGCCTACTGCTGCCTGCGTTACGGGGCCGCGTGCGGTGAGACCCTGGGCCTACAGGCGCCTCAATTGCCCCGGACTCAAGGGCTTTGAAATACTGCTCGTCAATCTTCTTGGCCTCGGCTTTGTCCTCGATCTCACTGTAAGGCAAGTCACCGAACCCCGCCTGCACGGTCCTGACCAGGTGGCTGTGAGCCCGAAGGCTGGCCACTTCTAGGCCGGTCAAACAATCGAAAACCTTGACCTCGTTGTCGCTGCTGCCGCTCACGATTCGGCGCCCATCGTACTGCACACATGCAATGCCCTTGGTGTGACCGACGACGGTTCTGGTGCAGACCTGTTTCGCCCAGTCCCACACTTTGATGTTCCTGTCACCACTTGCGGAGACAACCTCGTTTCCGTGAATTTGCACAGCATTGACTGCTGCACCGTGGCCATCGAGACGGCCTATCATGGTGTACGGGGCGATGATGGGTAGGTCGTCCGTAGGATTGCCGTACCTATTGTCTCGAATGCGAATAGGCACAGGATTCACCCCATTAGGGTATCCCAAATCGCCATACTTGAGTGGCCTCCTGTTGAAGATCTTGATAGACTTGTCCTTGGAGCAGGTCACAAGAATCCTCTTGTCAAACTTGACGTTGAGAACAGACTCAGAGTGCGCCTTAGTCAAACGTTGAATGATCTCGCCAGTCGAGAAGCGCCAGAGGATAACATTGGAGTCACTACTCCCCGAAACAATGAGATCTTCCTCGGGATCGGCATCGAACTGTAAGCACAGAACTGAACCTTCGTGTCCCTTGAGTGGAGCCCGTAGCAAGCGTCGCGTACTCATCTTCCATATGCGAATCGTCCGATCGCGACTGCCGCTAACAAGGTAGTGCGCGTCAAACTGCAGTGTGTAGATGCACTCCTGGTGCCCCTCCTCTGGATGGTCTGGGCGAGGGAGCTGAAAGTTTGTGAACTTCCCCTGCTCCCAGTTGGCCTCCAGTTTCCGTCGCAGCGTGTAGACATGCTTCCAGTTCAACTTATATCGGCTCTGAGAAGGGTCCCATGACCAGAGAGACGGCTTTGAGAGAAAAGGAGGTGGCGTAGGTGTTGTGTCGCGGGATAGATCATCCACCGAATCGACTGCCTTACCCTTTCCTTTAACATCGCGGGCAGGGCTGTGGCCAATCCCTCCGCTTTTAGAAGACGATCTTGACGCATCCACATCCATGTCGCCGCGGCTGCTTGAAGATAACGTGGGGACTGATCCGGGGGTGCCAAATATACTGCCACCAGCGCCCGCAAAAGCGCCTTCGGGCCTCGGCAAACGGTCCGCGTCAACCATTTCCTGATCATCATCCTCTGAGATGCCACGCTTCTTACAGGTGTGGCCGTCTTCAGACACGACCACATGGTGGTGTGAGCTGACGGAAGAGCTCATGCTATTGGCGTTCTCGTTCATCCTGTCTTCCCAAGCGCGAATCTCAGGATACAGCGCCTGCCAGCCTTCCATGTGGTATAATTTCTCCCAAAGCTTCCGGTCCAGTGCCAGGCTGTACCACTCGCGGCACGATTGGGCAACGCCAAGCAAAGAAACGGGGTCGAGGTATCCGAGGATCTTAAGGCACACCTCGGGCGGGAGGTATTGGATAAAGTTGATGTAGAGGCGAGGATGTAGCCGTTCGGCGATCTGGGCCACGACAGAGGTCGGCAGGTGGTCGAGCAGAGCCATGGCTAGCTGCGTCTTGGCCGACACGGGCAGGTAGGGGAGGTTCCTCTCGAGCCATGCCGGCAGATCGGAGGGCACGACGAGATCATGGCCAGGACGGGATGCGTGGGCCTCGTCAGGACGCGTGGATGTGGCACTCGAGCCAGTTGACGTTGGGTTGAGGGGATCTTCCGAGTAGCCTTCGTCGGGCTGTGAAGGGAACTGCATGGCGTCAAGTCCCCCGAAGCGCTACCGCACGGTGAAGCCAAAGAGGTCACGTAGTTGGGTGTCCTTGCAACGAGGCCATGCGGCCTTAAAGCTTCGGGCAGAGTTGGTTGTGTGTTGAAAGAATAGCGTATGCTCGTAAATTGTAAATCGCAGAAGAGCTTGAACGGACGCGGGGGTATCGACCTGGCTATAGGTTCGAACAGGTGTGCGAGGGGCGGCTTGGGACACGTTGACAGTCAGCTGGCTTGTGGCAAATGGTTTGTCGGAAAGAAGGATTGAGTAGGCTCGGGATGTTGACTGAAGCTTCGTACTATGGCACAGGATGTTGTTGAGGATGAGTCGTGCGGTGTAGGAGTGGACGTGGTAGTACTGTATTGTGTTCAGCTTGCCTCATCGACCAGTCAGCCTGCCCTGCTTGTCGCCGTCTCTGCTGACAGTTGCTGGTAGGTACTTTGTAGCCTGACTAGCAACCCACACCCGACCCGTAGTCTTGCCTGGCACAGACCAGGCCTACGGGACGCGCCTCAGCCGGCAGATGACTCCAATCGTGGGCCCTGATGGCACTCGGGAGTGGGGACGATGATACGGCCTTCTACAAGAGCACAATCCTCACCGAAGCCTGAAAAGACAGCCCTGTAAGGTGAAGTGTTACAGATCCGTCCATAACATTGTGCCGTACGGATGGCCTTAGCCTTTCTTCAAGCGCCATGCCAGCATGTCCATCCCACTGTTGGCTCCGACGATGGGAAGATCGTTCCTCGTTGTTCTGACATGAGCAGTCTGAAACCACCTTCACCCTCGCAGCCTAGATATCTTTGCATGTCGAATGGTCGAGCGAGCCTGGGCTGCGACACCCCAAGCACTGCACTCCGGGCGAGGCCGTCCAAGGGAAGGTACCTAGGTATGTAGGTAGGCAAGGTGAGGCAAGCAGGGCAGGAAGGTAATCGAGGAAAAGCCCCGAAATGGGTTCCCACCCTGCCGAATTGTACCCCAGATCGGCGTCTGCACAGAAGTGCATGGTGGCTTGCCGGTGCTTGAATTAGCACGCGCAAGTCTCGAGGCAGCACCCCTGATGATGAAGATTGATATGGACATCTACGCTTCCAATGAAGTCTCCTGGCCGATGCTGAAGAAGTGAAGAACAGTACCTCGTCAGGACGATCGCTCTGGATAAAGCATCCTGCGTCTTTGGTGGCACCTGTGGGGGCAAGCAAGACACTTCCACGCCTCCCCCGCCCGGCTCAGCTCTCGGATTGCGGCATGGCCAATTTTCTGGCGGTTGCACCAAACAACTCACACAGCCACGCCGCCGGCCCTGATGAACCAATATGTCAAGCCCAGAAGCGATGTCGTACTATCCTGAAGATTGCAGTCATCATTCGGCGACACGATATCGCCTTTGATCAAAAGAAAGGTTGCCACCACTGAGGCATGAGAATAATGCGTGATTGGGGATTAGCGTCTTCAGCTGATGTTACAGCGTCAAGCCCCCTCCCCCGGGAAAACCAAAACCAAAACCAAAACCCTCGCTCGTCATACTTGTCCAGCTTCGCGTCTTCTATTTCGAAAGTTTGAAGAAGGACTTGGATGAATGGATGGCGCTCGTTTGGGGTCGAAGCGCGACGGGCTCGGGGGGTGGGCACTGGTTGGTCAGGGTCCGCATGACCATGGCGATTTACAAGCCAGCTACGAGGGAGGGGTCAGCTTTGTCAGGGTCCATGTTGGTTCCCCGATGCCTAGAGGTTCAAGCATCGAAGGCGACTGAGAAGCTTCCCCGCGCACGGCCGTCCAGAGAGGGCTCTATTCAGCTTCGCCTGTTGATTACGACGTCGTAACGGACAGTTGCCCGAGATGGCATTCGCGAGTCAGTGGGGGTCAAACGGCGGCAGTGTGATATAGTCCATGTGTGCGTGTCGATCTATTCTGTCTATCAGATCAGCTTGGCTTGAGGCTGACTGCGAGCAAGCCTGTGGTGTCGAGAAGGGACAGGCACTAAAAGGGGCAGGCAGAAAGAAGGGCCATAGAGAGGGATCTGCATTCGCGGTAATTGCGCACATGGCTTGAAGAGGACGATGGCAAGCATCTCGATCCGTGCTGGCACCCTTGCCAGCGGCTTCTACCCGTGAAGAGGGGTATCAGACGGGCAGTCTAACCGTAGTAGAAGAGGGTGCGGTCTAGATTTCTTCGGAGAGCATGGCTCTTGGGGATGATGGATTCAAGCAGCCATTTCGGTATGGTCAGAATCGACGACAGGCCCGTCAAGGGCACGAAATATTTGACGCAGCCTTGAGGTTCTGAGGTCTACAGGACGCCATTCGGCCCGCCAAAGTGATATGGTGGTAGTTGGGTTGTTGCGCCAGGGGGCATCACCACAGGCTAGTGCGCAGTGCGTTGTGCAGCGCGGCAGCTTCCAAGCCTTCGGTGCATCTTCTCGAATCCGCACCACCTCCGTCCATGCCGCCATCACCATCCAGCCCTCATTTCAAGCCCCAAGCAGAAAGAAACCCTGGGTGTGGTGTTTGAGGATGGTTCGGGTTCCACCACAGGTCGTCCGTCAGTCAATAAGATGCCGGCCTAGTTTGGCTGTCTTAACTGTTTCGAGTTTGGCGCGTTCCCTCACTAATTTGAAACAGTAGACGAATGGAACGGTCTTTCGAGAACAGTGGGCGGCGGGCGGACGCTCCCCCCTAGCAGCATCAGCAGGGCCCTTTCCCCTCCCCTCCCCTAGGCAGCGGCTGCCCCTCTACTTGGTCTTCAAGGTCTTGAAGCCCAAGCCCAGGTAAAGGGCCCTGTCCATGACCCATCAGTGCCCAGCGGACCCCCTCCAGTGGGCCCGGGACAGGTGGAAGGCACCTCACCCAGGAGCGTGTGGGTGGGTGTGGCGGCCGGCGGCACTCTCCATCAATGCGTGATGCTCCATGCGAGAGCTAGTCCGTGGAGATAGGTACCTCTACCTGGGCATCTACCGGGTCTTGCCCTTTGACATCTAGAGCTCCTTGGTCACGCTTCCCTTTCCATTCCAATGCTCAGCCAGATGGACCTGCCAACAACGTGACCTGTTGACGGCCATCTTGAGCGCTCAATGCTTAAACAAACACAAAAACAAGAATCGTCACGAACATTGGCAGAGAGCTTGATAACGAACGGTTCACGGTCTTGTACCTTGGGCGCTGTATACTACCTGAACGAGAAGCGTATCGCACCTAGGTATCTGCGCAACGTCGATCCGACCGGCCCTTCCCAGCTCCATCCACTCGAAAGCGTGAGTCGCCAGCGCCAATACTTCAGTGGACTCCCTAGGTCGGCACCGCCAACCTCCTTCTCCATCAGAGGGTCCCCTCCCCCTTACCCCCTCCTCCTAGTAATCCGATTCACGCACCCAGCCCCGAAACCCGGCCGCCAGCCTGTGGCTTCTTTCATTCCCATCTCGACTCACCACTCCCGTACTTTGGTCAACACCGCCAATCAATCCTCGACCAGAGCCCCAGCCCAGCCATCGTCGCTGCTGCTGCACATCTTACTAGGACCAAAATACGCACTGGTTTGCCGTCTTCGTCCACCAAGACACGACGCCCTCGACGCCTGCCGACCAACGGGCGAAGCCACAAACAAGAAAGCATAGCGGGACTTGCAGGTGGGAACCGAGAGGGGCTTCGAAAACCCGAATCCGACCAACGTGAGACTCTAGCCAGAGTCAAAGGGTCTGAAGTCAACCCACCTTCTCTCCCGTTTCAACGAAACATCCTCACCCTGTTTCCTCGCCCTAATTCGAGTCGAACTGCTCTGCCGATTCCAGGAAGAGAGGGAGAGAGAACGAGACTACACGCTGCTGCAGCCGCGAGCCTGAGCAAGCGCTGGATGACCGACACCGCTAGATCGCTCACCCCTCTTCCGTGAACGTGCTCGCAACAAAGCCGCCTCGCAACCGCCCACCCGACTGCATCGTATGCCGATTAAACCGCGATCTCGTTTCGACCGACTGATCCACTGATCCACTGGTCGAGCAATTTCGAACCGCCACCTCCCTCCGACCGCGTCTGCGAGCTTGCGACCGCCGGCGAATGGATTAGGTCGACATGGCACATGCTCCCCTCCTACGAACCAACACGGCACCGGTATTCTCACAGTCTTCGAACGGTGTCGGAGGCATCAGTACCATGAGCCATGCGCCGCGCGCCAGCCAACTGTCTGGCTCAACGGCGTACAACAGCTCCTCCGTCTCGTTAGCCTCGTTGTCATCCGCTGCTACTGCTGCGACGACCGCCACCGCGACACCCCAGAACGGTGGGCCCGTCATAGCCACAGCCAACATCATCAACCAGAAGGCTGATGCCTCTCGCTCGCTCTACCACCTGTGTATGGCGCTCAAAGTGAGACTCGCCCAGGTTCCCGACTTTGGTCCCTACCTCCAGCAACTCGATCCGTACGACCCAGTCGAGTCTCTTTGGGGTCTATTTCGCACCGGTTTCCCTCTCCTCGAGATCTATAATGCGTTGCAACCGCCTGTGCCCCTCAAAATCGACGACTCGACCCCCAAGACCACGACTGCCGACAAGAAAGCTAAGATTGCCGTTTTCAAGTTCATCCAGGCTTGCCTGAAGGATCTCGGTATTCCTTCTGCTGACTGTTTCGTCATAAACGATGTCCTGGGCAACGATACAACGGGTTTCGTCAAGGTATGCTATAGAGACCGGCTGTCTCGATTCTTTTTCTCCATGGTTTTAACACGAAGGTGCAGGTCACACAGGTGGTCAATTATGTGCTCGATCTCGCGCAGGAGCGTGGCTTGCTTCTGCAGGCTCAGCCGTACCCCGAAGACGAAGCCGCTCCCGAACCAGGCTCAAAACTGAGCTACCGCGACTACATTGTTAAGGAGCTGGTTGATACCGAGCGGAAATATGTGCAGGATCTCGAGAATCTGCACGATCTGAAGAGCAGCCTCGAGACCAAGGGCATCATCACTGGCGACACCATTCACCAGATTTTCCTGAATATCAACGCCATCCTGGACTTCCAGCGGAGGTTCCTCATTCGCGTCGAGACGACCAATTCTATGCCGCAGAGCTCCCAGCATTGGGGAGCTCCTTTCGTTGTTTACGAGGAAGCTTTCGATATTTACCGCCCTTTTATCGCCAACCAGCGGAAGGCCGCGCAAGTAGCAAACCAGGTTTTCGAGCAGATCAAGACGGCTGCGCATCCGGTGGCAGTCGACTTCAACACACTGGACGGTTTCCTGCTGAAACCAATGCAGCGTCTCGTGAAATACCCTCTTCTGCTCAAGGTAATTTTGGCCTGCTTGCAAATGTTCATTGGATTTGTCATTGACGCCATGCAGGATCTGAAGAAGAAGACGGAGGACGAGACTGCCCAGAGCGAACTAGCCGCCGGCATAGAGGCTGCGGAGCGAGTCCTCACCAAGGCAAATGAAGAAGTAAATCGCGATCTTCTAGATGAGGCGCTCGAGGAGCTCCGTGTCCGCGTAGATGACTGGAAGAGCCACAAGATTGAGCAGTTTGGTAAGCTGCTAAGGCACGGTGTCTACACCGTCGTGACCGGAAAGACAGATCAAGAAAAAGAGGTAAGCTATGTCCCCGCAGGAGCCAACCGTGTCGTATGGCGCTAACATGCCAAACGTATGAAATTTATCTCTTCGAATGCATACTTCTTTGCTGCAAGGAGATCTCTCCGAACAAGAGCAAGGACAAAAAGGACAAGACACGGTCCACTGGCCCAAGGATTCGCAACAAAAACGCGAAGCTCCAGCTGAAGGGCAGAATCTTCATGACGAACGTCACGGACGTCGTCTCTCTCTCCAAACCAGGTCAGTCCTCACCTGCTCCTGGCTTCCTGGCCAACGCACTGACAAACATGCAGGTTCTTATAGTGTCCAAATTTGGTGGAAGGGCGATCCTGGCGTCGAGAATTTCATGATCAAGTTCAACAACGAGGAGATGCTGAAAAAGTGGGCTCTCGGCTTGGAGACGCAACGCAAGGTATGGTCTCAAAAGACCGCAGGCAGCCCGGATCAAGCAGCGCCCGAATTTGCTTGGACCCAAGCTCACGGGAGCAAACTTGAGAATCCATACCTCAACCAGGGCGATGACGAGGACGACGAGGACTTGGGCCCAACGTCAGCGCCACCCCAATTCCCAATGTCGCAACAAACATCCGGGAATGGACCGCGCCTCCCTCGCAACGCATCAAGCACCAGCCTGCGCCAACGATCTGCGACAAACGACAGCACAGGCTCGTTGGCCGGCATGGTCCGCGCCGCTCCCCCACGCTTCCCGTTACCTCAGCCTCCGGGACCGTTGAGTGTCCAAACTCAACTCCTCCCGGGCCAGTCCTCGCCTGGTTTCCGCGGCGGCGACTCATACTTTTCACCCATTGCCGAATCACCCGCCTCGTCCAGGGCAAGCACTGCCAGTTCCATGATGCCGCCCTCTGCTTACCCGTTCCCAAAAACGTCGACGCCCCAGCCTGGTTGGGGAGAAGAGCAGAATCGGTACACAGCACCAGCCATGCCGCGTGCCCCTTCGAGGGATGGTCCTTCGCCGAACCCTTATGGGAATGGAAGGAACCCTCGAGGGCCCTCACTGCCGGCCATGGCCTCGAACAACCAGAGCGCGGCCCAACAACAACGAAGTCGCTCGTACAGCACACCGGATATCAATGGGCCCAACGGTGTGCCAAGCGCACGCCGCAACCCCTCAGTGCCATCGATCCCAGCAGTACCGGGCATTCCGTCTCATCTGCACCCAGCTCATGACGGCAATCTTCCCCGCTCCCAGACCGGGTCTCCCCGACAGCAGAATGAGCTTCCCATGAGGTCAAACACGCAGAGCCCGGGTACCCAACGTGAGCGGCAGTACGGCCATCAATCATCGGGTAGCTATGGTGGCACCATGTCTCACTTTCCTGCTCAGCCGATCTATCCCCGACACGGAACTCCTACTCAGGGCTTCCACAACGAGCGGAACCTCAGCATCGACGCAACCGCAGCGGGTCGGTCTATTTCGCCTGGCTTGGGTACCGCCTCTGGGATCCAGACCAATCCTCTAGTCAGCCCGGACCTGCCAATCCCCACTCAATTAAAGGTCAAGGTAAACTGTGTTGACAGCGGGAATTATGTCACACTAGTGGTTGCATTCAACATCACGTACCAGTCACTCATTGACCGCATCGACGCTAAGCTCGCTCGCTTCACCAGCAGCAGCATCAGCAAAGGCGCGTTGAAGCTGCGATATCGTGATGAGGATGGCGACTTCGTCACCATTGAGAGTGACGACGACATTCAAATCGCATTCCTCGAATGGCGCGAGGGCGTGCGAAACATGTACGCTGGTGGCGTTGGCGAGATTGAGCTCTTTTGCGTAGGAGACACGGGTGGCGGAGGCAACAACGTTTGAACGGGTTTTGGAGTGAATGAGGGGTTTCCCTCACCTCGCGTTTCATCTTCTGGGCTTGACGGATCATCGTAGCATACACCCGATCGAGTCCCTTTCATCTCGCATTCTTGGAGTCTGGAGTCGGGATTCCGGCCGCATTCTGACGGATTACTTCTGAGCCGCTCGCGGCTTTTGATATTTTTCTCTTTCATCATGGATAAGGAAGCGGGGGATGGAGGGTGTGAGCCGCACTTGTGGCGAGGTCCATTGTTATAGGGCATTTGAAGCTTTTCGCGAATCTAGACGGATTGGGTCAGCATACCCATTTTTGGACCATTATGGCATTCGGTTTAACACTCGCTTCGGACATGGGGGCATTGGATCATGAATTTGTTGCTGACGAGTCTTCCTCCACATCGGATCCTCTGTGATGCTGCGAACTCCAGACCCATGTGAACATCTAGCAGGCTTACCAGTTGCTGGTTGGAAGATCAGTAAAAGGCTGCGTTTAGCTTACTACTAAATTGGGACACTTTAAGCGTGCATCTATCACTTGCCGGGTTCTCGAGCAGCACGGGAAAAGCCTGTTTGAAATGTCGAATCATGTTGCTACAAATGGTATGTTTTGGTACATGGTGATACAGCCCATTCTTCTATGCCAAGAACGCCGCATTTGCCCCTTAGGGGCAAGAAAATGTACAACTCCTTGAAGGATGTCGCCCTTCGAGAGTCCAATGTTCAAAAGGGAGTTGGACCGGTCGCTATTCTCGATAGGCTGACAGTCGTCTGATACCATGGGCCAACAGCCCAAGCAGCTTCGAGTTTGTTGTACGCCTGGAACCGAGGACGAAACCATTCGCTGAGCCCAATCTCTCGGTTGTTCGTCTCAATGGCGGCCGCCCCCGCTACCGACAGTTCGACTCGAGCACTGCCTCGCCTCTCGGGGCCCTGTTCTCGTCACTGTTGTCCCGCCATGCAGCGTCTACCTCTTTCGCCTGCCGCTGATGATGACGCGGTCGTACATGCGGGCCAGGTGGAAATTGATCGTGTTGCGCGGGGCGTCTTGCGGCGGAGGCGAGTCCATGCATGTGCGTAGGGCGTTCTCGAGGGCGGCGCAGCCGGATGTGTTGAAGCCTGCGGAGGCCCAGCAGGCTAGAGGAACGGGACGAGGGAGGTTAGCCTGCTATGAAGAATCTCTCGGGCGGTCGAAGAAGGGTACATTGGGTTTTTCTTCAATCTTCTTTTGGAGGGGGGGAGGGGGCATCAGCTGACGTACCGAGCAGTGAGGACATCATGGAAACGCAGGGCGACTCGGTCTTCTTGTTCAATGGGGCGCGGACGCGGAGGCCCTTCAGGGGGGGCAGGCGCATGGGTTTTTGAGGCATCGTGGCTGGTTTGTGTGCAGATGTGTCTCTTGTGGTATTCGGAGCGCAAGCAGTGGCCTTGACCTTCGGAGTGTCGTTGTATGGCGTCGGTGGCGTGAGCTGGTCGTCGTCAAGGCTGTTCTATCGTGACCATCCTAAAGCTCAATTGTCAAGAGGTCCATGCCGTCGCGATGCTCAAAAATTCGAGGTCACGTGCCAGCGCCAAACGGTGAGGGAGCACACGCCATTCAGCGGTACGTACCGCCCCCAGCAACGAGGCCCCACGAGGGTGGGGTTCGTCTTAGGTGAAGCGAAACAGGCGGCGCGTCTCATTGGCCGCATGGGGCAAAGTAAACAAAGGAATTCCAGGTTACACTCCTGGGTTATTCGCGACTTGGGTCTTTCCTCATACAACTTACAGACGAGGTTCAAGGTTGAACGAGTCGCATTGCGCTCAGTCAGTGACTTTAACCCTTACCTTCTCACCCACCCACATTCAAAGCTTTCCCGGAGAACAATTGCCGACAAATACACGACCCGCGCCTCTGTTCAGCATGCGCGACCCCATCGAGATGAAGGGTTTCCGCCCAGCGACAACTTCGCCCACCAGTGTCTTGTCGCGCTCTGACGCCGTTGCCTCCCAGTCTCCAGCAAAGGCCTTATTCGAAAATCTATCAAAGATGACGACTCGGTTTGGAGAGTCAAACGATAAAAACCATCCCATGGGTCGCGATGAGGACGCCGCCAGCAAGGCGCGCGGCCTTGGCGCCAATGTCACTCTTCTCCGTCCGGAGCTCGTCCAGCCTTTCAACACCGAAGAATTTCAAGGAACGGAATTCTGCTTCGCTCCGGTCCTGCAATATCCATTTCAAAAGAAGCCACGAACCATCCGAAAGCCGGCGGTCAGGGCGGCAGCCCGCGAGACGCTGAGACGGAGGCAAGAAGCGGTGAAGTTGAGGGAGGAAAGTCACGACACGACCGAACTGCAAAATGCGTTCGAGGAGTACCAGAAGACGGCGTGCCTGCCATCAGAGCAGTCGCCGCGAAAGAAGCTCATGAGTCAGGCGCCGGACGCGCAAGATTTGGTGGATGGCGAGTTTGATGAAGAATGGGAAGTCGCGCAGCAACATGGCGATTTCGGGATAAGCTGGGCAAAGGGTTTGTGGGCCCAAGACTCGATATGGCTCAACCTAGCTGACCTCCTCCAAGCCGATATTCGAAACCATTTGCTGAACACCAGCGCCCCAGAAGCCCGACGAAAGCCTTCCAACACCGAATTTGGTCCTGCCCCAGTGGTGAAGCGACGAGCAGACGGCTCGGCGCGGGCCAACTGGATCCGACAGAAACAGGTTGATCCGGACGTCAGATATCTCCTCAAGTTTCCAGGCGGTGAGATGGCCGCTCAGAAGGCGTACAGCCTGCTTGGACGGAAAGATATGCTGCCGTTCGAAACCCTTGAGGAAGCTTCGAACGACAGCATTGTCATGCCAGAAGATCCTCCTTCGACCGCGACCCACACCTCGGAAGAGAACCGCTTGGCCAGATTGGAAGCCGCGAAGGCGCAGTTGCCTGAAGCCGCAGGGCTTCAGAAGAATGGTCACACCAGTGACGAAGATGAAGTCCGCGATGAAGAGCAAGTCTCGGATGACGTAACCCTACCACCTTGTGAAGCAACAGGCGATGGGCAAACGGACGACAAGTCCGTGCAAGATGATGGTGCCGTAGCTAATACTGGAATGCTTGGCATTGACGACGCACACCGAGTCCGCACGTTCGAGGCCCCTTCCTCCTTCTTGGACACCAGTATGCTCAGCTCCGCTGGCCACGACTCTCCAGCGCAGCCAAGCACGCCTCAGGCTCTGGCACTACCTGGGCAGCCGGTTCTCGATATTGACTTGAACAAGAATCCCGACATTTTCGCCTCGGCCCTGTTGCAGAACCGAACCTCCACGCTGTCGTCATCCGCCGTGTCGCACCTCAGCTTCACCACGCCGCAGCCATCATCTCCGCCTCCAAGTATGAAATCGCAGCTACGCGGGATAGATAACGATAGTCGTTGGTCCCCACTGGCGCACTCCCCCACACCACTATCGCCCACTCCCTTCATCACTGCTGGTGATTCGGATCAGCTTGCCCACAACATTGGGTTGGAAAAGAATGAAGCAACACGCAAATCCCACAGAAACTCCTCCCCTATCGAAGCTCTTGCAAGCCTTATCAATCCTATCCAAGACATGGCCGATACTCGTGTTGTTCTGGGTCAAAATGAAGGCCGGTTTTTCATCCGGTTTAAGCTGCCAGATGAACATGCCGAAACCTTCTTGGAGCAAGTCGACCATGTTCAAGTTGATACATACATGAAACAAGAGGACGAGGCTGTCGAATGGGAAACAGAACCCGCTGCTACTGTCCAGGAGCTTGAGGAGAAGGCTACCGGCGAAGTTGTGAAGGTCGTGTCCGAAGATGATCCTCGTGATCTTCTCAGACAGTTCGTTACAAAGCATCAGGCTGGTAAGGCCAGACCCTCGGCTGCCATCTTCTCTGCCGATACCGAATCGCCCGCCGCCGAACGCGTTATGGGTAAGCCCGACGCGGTCGTACCAACCGCGCCGATTCTGGTAGCCGAGAGTCCCCGAACGCCAGAGTCAGGGTTCAACCGTGCTTCGATGCGTATTAAAACGCCTACCTTAAACATGGGATCCGACCAGCCTGCTCCTGAGACTCCTACCAGGAACAGTTCGGCCAAGAAGTCCAAGCGAACGCCCCTTGGCAAGCTGGACGCTAATAGCCCCAGTCCTGTCAAGCCAAAGGCTGGCAAAAGGAAGATGGACGAGGACGGCGACGACGATGAGCAAAAAGATCTGGAGAAGACGCCAGAGCCGTCCCCGAAGCGCAGACGCGGCCTTCGTTCGAGGAAGCCAGCTACCCCAGGACCTGACGCAGCTCCCGTCAACTCGCGTCTGGTCCGGAACGCTGAGAAAGACCTTGCTTCAGTGACGCGAGCTAATACCCGCGCCAACAAGAGCGGTGCTCTCTATCCGGCCGACGTCCTTGCCCAGTTTGCCGAGGACCCCCTGGGTCAACAGTGGAAGGAGAGGAAAGCGGTAGTAGACGCACGAGCGTCCCGAGCGGTAAAGGTTGGCGCTAAGAGCGTTCACTGGCCGGCGGCTCTGGCTTCATACCAGACCTTCACGTCTGACGATGGCGTGGATGTTGCTGCCACTTTAGCTGCTGCGCCTGTTCCCGCCCCGGAGCCCGAGCCAGAGTTCCAGGAGCTCATAGAAAGACAGTCGAAGAAGAACCGAGCCGTTAAATCCAAGTTGCCGGCGCCCGTTGGTCGTCCGCGTCGCGTTGCCGCTCCAGTTGCGCCAGCAACCCCCAGGCCTGCCACACCTAGAGCTCCCTCCACCAAGAGACCTGCTGCCAATGCACCGGAGGCGGACGAGGACGCGATCGTCGGGAAGAGGCCAACGAGAGCTGCAGCCCAAAAGACCAACATCAGGATGGGCCTCACAGCAACCGGTACGCCTGTACGCCGCCGTCCTACGCGATCAACGAGCACGTAGGCAAGGAGGATGGAAACTGGAGGGTGTAGGAGTGAGAGGGCGACCTTATTTTTGTTTTGCTTTAGATTTTGCGTTGAGACTACGATACCCAGGCCATGGCGACGGCGTTTGTTTTCTGCTCTCTAAATTCTTTCACTGGAAAATGCCCCCGAGATATAGGGTTGGAGTTGATCAGCTTAGACACCCAGTTTTGCTTGCGGACCTGAGTCTGGCTGATCACAGTAGGTGATCCAGGCCTGCGATTTCAGAGAATTGACATTGATCTTGTTTCACGCTGCTTGCTCAGATGACCGGCCTGTTGCGTGTTAGCTAGGTATTCATGTTATCGAGAAGAGACTCAGCATTGCGTGATGTTGCAATGAGCTGGCCGGAAAAGTATGAAATATGACATCGAATATGTGTAACCCAATGCCATAGAGACTTGGGTCTGGAGGTCATCGGACATCATACCACTCTTTTCCTTACACTCTCAGTCCGCTTTATGAAATCCATGTAGTGGCTTCGGCGGTCCAGTGGTCCGAGCAGGGCAAGGACCGTGGCGTAGCAGAGTCTTTCTGTGTTGATGACGTGCGAGAGGGCGTAGGGGCTCCTCAGTGAGTCCTCGAAGTTGAAACCGTGAAAGTCGCTCTACCTGTGATGCGCTGGGGATCGTCTTCCCATAACTTAACCCTTGTACACAATGTGAGCCATGCGGGAATGGCGGCGGGTATGCCTACAAGATCATCCAACCCGGCATCCTCAAGATCAAACCCAATTTCATAAAGTATAGTCCCGGGACACGAAGCTTAATGCAAAGAATTCCTCATGACCTAAAAACTCAATGACTTGTAGAGTTATAATGCGAACTCTATTATGGATGATTTCAAATGATACTACAACAACAAGACTCCCAACAACAAGACTCCCAACAACAAGACTCCGGAGAACTACCAGCCCACAATTGACCACAGCTAATGCTATTTGATTGTAACTTCAGGGGTTCCGAGATCCAGCCGCTGCTGCATTCTTCAACTGTTAGCTTATTGCAATGGTCGTAGTCATGTGTTACCATGGGATCCAACTCTCCATAACCCGCTGTGACAGCACTTGACTATGAAAAATGCGGAATGCTCATTATAAAGAACTAAAGGTGTTCGAGACATAATAAAAAAGTCACTTGATTGAGTCTTGCTTCATGCATATATCGTGTCTTCTATCGTAGGTTCCTCCTGGGACTACCTTTCCAGGCGTCAAAGCCTGTGCATCTCGTCAGACTTCCCATCGAACTTCTCGTCGAGAAGCCGGCTATCTTCTACCCTACATAGGTATTCTTCGGAACCTAGCTTCATAGGTTGCCATCCATTTACCAGATCTGTTACGCTCATTGTCTGGCATTGGTATGACTCCCCAAACCCTTTAGCAGTCGAAATCTGTGTCCACGGTTTGGACAACACTGTTCAAGTTGATAGACTATGCAGCGCATTCCGGGATGACGAATCCGCTTATACTATTGAAACAAACAAAGCCTGATATTAGCAGCACCGGCACTGCACCTGCCAAAGCCAAGCCATGATGTTACTACATACTAATTAGTCCGCGGCTCACTAGACAAAGTAGAACTCTTACTAATTGGCCCCCAGTTCCTAGTCAAGACCAGATAGTCTACCCCAGCATCTACAGCGAACGAAGGTAATGAGGAGGAACCATTGCAAGACGAGACACTGGTACCACAGGGGTAAGATATCATGGCAGTGGATATGACGGCGGCTAGTAGCACTTACACAGTCTGTTCCGTCACCAGCGCAGATAAAACCTTGCTCGGCGAGGCGGCAACCATCATTTCGCAGTAAGATCACGATCAAAGGGGGCGGTCGAACATTCGGGGGACAGCCCACCATTAACCGTAGGTCATACCGTAGATGGACGAGACATAACAGGGGAAGGACTAAACAAGGGTCAATCAGAATGGTTTCGCAACAAGACTCCCATCAAGGGAAACATTGAATACTTGACTTGATATCATATGAGGCTTCAAATTCAGCAATAGAAGCGTCTTGATTCATACATGCGTTCTTGAGCCTCGTCTATTGCTTTTTGATTCTCGCCGCGGTGTCCAGGGAGGAAAAAACCTCTTCGTGATTCCAATAAATGATTGGTATATTCTTGTTCTAAGCAGCATGATTTTGCATTACCACATCCTTACAGAGGCCGAGCCTGTTCATACCTTCGAATCCAAACCCAAGACCCAAATATTCCCTCTTCTGTGGTCTCAGGGCTGACTGCTGTGGAACTTCTGCTATCATGTCCAAAGGCGAAGACATTTGTTGCAACAGAACACCGGAACGATGCAGGCCCAGGCGTCAGATAACATCAACTCGTATAGGGGTCAGTCATCACGTATAAAGTTGAGGCTTGCTTCGGTCACATTGCATGCCACTTGTCATATCTTGAGTGAAATATCATGGCTTTGCGAGCCACAGTATGATACTTGATCCCGCCTCGTCTCTTTCAGAGCTAATGTCCTGAACGAAAACCTCGTGATAAATCGGAAGGTCCAACACAAGCTGACTTGAACAGCGTCCATGTTGAACAGGTACTGGGCAAGAGCTTTACTCTGTGTTGTCTCGTCTATAAGCCTGTTCAAGACGATGGTTCTGAACGCTCTCTACCTTTTGCCGTTGCGTCCCAAGTTATCTGGTTAACTCAAGACATACCCGGGAAACAGCTACAGTGGAAACAACGCAACTGCTGTAAAAGTTTCTTGGTCTGGACAGGAGGCACAGGGTGCCACTCCTGTCGGGCTTGGGAGCTTATCTCCGGCGATCCGGCTCCCGCGCAAGAGACCACCAGAGGTGCTCAATGAGAGCCGAAGGCCCTGATTTACCCCTTATCCCTATTGTCGCGATGACGACCCTGCCCACGTCGTGCCAAGACATGCAACATGAAGCTTGCAACTGACCATCTTTCATCATCTAGCTTGTCCTGCCGAACCCTTCGCATGGAACCGAGCCCGACACTAGCCTTCATACCCCTACTAGGTCCAACCGAATGTTCACCATGCGCATGGTTCGACAAAGTCTGGGACCACGAATGACGCAAACAGGGTCACTCGTCACTATCGAACCGCTTTGCGTTCCGATATCAGCGATGGGTCACAATAGCTCAGGTTACACTTCACGTCGGCAGCATTGCTATCATAACCCCCTGTCTCTGCCAAACTTCCTATGCCTGTTCAGGACCTCACGCCTGTAACACGATGAAGCGCTCCCCTGCCGGTGCGCCGACCTGCTGACGTGCTTCTCCATTCACTCATTAAACCTCGTCCGCATGCAGCCCTGAGCCGGCATACTTCGAGCTGTTTGACCCGGGACTCTATCACGCACGCTGGGGACAATGCTGTTCTACTGTACATGACACCCCCGCGGCACCAGCCCGACCCCTGCGGCACGAACCCCCGGTGCCCTGAGCCCGCGCACCGGTATCGATGGATGCGTCGAGGGGAATGCCGTGACCTTCGCTTCCACCTTCGCTTCCACCCGCAAGCCGCCTGGTTGTCGGTATTGGTGATACCAACAAGTGCAGTCGCTTACTCGCTGACCATGTGGGGGAGCATGCGAAAATTCCAGTGGTGGCGTCGAAGAGCTTCACGATGCAGCCAGCCACGTCGTACCATTCCTCACAAGGACGAACTCTGACCAACATGACACATTCCGGGTCTGTCCGCATAGCCAATTACCACAACGTCGAAGCGAAGTGTGAAGGGCCTCGGTCGGTGTGAGGCGCAACGTCGATCGCATTTTCAACTCGACATCGCCAGGCCACTGGGGGAAAAATTGGACAGCAATAAGCCACCGCGTAGGTAGATACCTAGGTGAACCTACTTTCATGGCCTTACTTCAGAGACACGGCTGAAGCGTACGCATACGCTTGGCCGCCCCCTAAGCGGCCACACGCTTGATGATTTTTTTGGGCTCCCCCCAGCATGGCTTGTGTCAGAGAAAGCAGAGTCAGAAATACCGTTGGGCGAAACCCTCCACAGCCCAATTGCCAAGCCATGTAACGCCCACGTAGAAAATACCCGCCGACTCCGCCAGGTACCGAAACCGATGCGATCGCAACATCTAGAGCCCCTCGTTAGCACGAGCCATAGCACGAGCCACCAGGAGCCCGCGTGAAATCACGGGCGACATCATGCGTAGCGGACGGCGTCTACCGACCCGTCGGGCCATTGTATGTAGGGTCAACAGCAAACACACAGAGCCATGGCGCGCGATTGAATGCGCACCCCCCTCCCATTTCTCTCCCGATCGCCGGGTTTCCCTCTCCCCTCCGCCTGATCTCACAAGGCCGGAGATGCGTTCGACGCCCTAGAGGGCAAGCGGCAGTCGTCCGGCTCGTCGTAACGCGCCGCGTCAATTGCCTTACGCACCCCTCTCAGACACGTTCCTTGCTAGACTCAATGGAAGCCTCTACCCGAGCACGAGCTGAAAAGGAAGAGGAAGCCAGACTAGCCAGTTTTGCCGATTATCAGGCATCATTTCCCCCCCACCTGACCCCCGCCTCCCTGTCGCCCCGATTCTCCCATCTACTAACCGTGGCGCCAGTTTAGGGCGGGTAGCTAGACAGACCGCCTGTTCGGCAGCTGTGTCGCGTGGTCGAGTCGCCAGAAGCAGTCATTAGAGTTCTTGTCTTCCCCCTTGGGACAATGGCTTCGGAGTAAGGTGGTGGGTAAGCGAGGGCCTAGAAAATAAAGGAGAGGGGGGAATCCGACGTGAAGACGCGACTCAATCTTCGTCATCGTCATGCGCCATGCCACGGCTGTACATGTACACGCAAGCAAGGCCAGATCTGCCGCTTGTCTCGATACGAACCTTTGATACAAGACGAGCATCTTGAGCTGTCTGTCGGTCCTCAATTGCCGTAGTGCTGCCTGCTTGCTCGCGGCTGCGCTAGTTGCACATGGCAGCAAGATAGATTGGGTCCACGATCGTTGCGAAGCATGGGAGATGAAGGCTGGGGTT